TTATTTCAACCCCATCTCTCTCTTCTGCATAAATAATATAATATATATAATATAGCAGATATATATATATATATATATATATAATGTATCTGATTATTTTTTATTTTTATTTATATATTTATTATATATATTAATTAATTAACCTATTTATTTATTTATAGCAGTATACCTTCAAGCTGTATTCCTGCAGTCGTTATTTAGTCTTTAGAGCGATTCGTATTCCATTTGCCGTGCGTCTAAGCTCATGAGGCATAGCCCGCAGCCGCTGACGCTGCCATGTCACATGTGGTCTTAATCTCTCAACAAAATCCTCCTCGGTTCGCGTCCTCGATCTACAGCAAACGTCCAATGTACGCTTGTACATCAAACTACGGCAAGTATGGTGTGGTGTGGGTGGGGGGGGGGTGAGGATGTGTGTGTGTGTCGGTGTGGTGTGTTGTGTGTGTTGTGTGTGTGCGTGTGCGTGTGGTGTGCGTGTGCGTGTGCGTGTGGTGTGTGTTGTGTGTAGTGTTGTGTGTGTGTGTGTGTGTGTGTGTAGTGTGCGCGCGCAGTGCGTGTGTGTGCGTGTTGTGTGCGATGTGTGTGTGGGGCTGCGTGGTGTGTTGTGTGTGTGTTGTGTGTCGCGCGGCGCGTTGGTGTGGTGCGTGTGTGGGGTGTGTGTTGTGTGTGTGTGTGTGGTGTTGTGTGTGTGCGCCGCGTGCGTGGCTGTGGTGACGTGTGTGGGCATGTGTGTGTGTGTTGGGTGGGGGGGGTGGTGTGTGTGTGTGTGTGTGTGTGCGGTGTGTTGTTGTGTGTGTGTAGTGTGCGCGGCGCCGGCGCGTGCGTGTGTAGTGCGTGCGTGGTGTGAGTGGTGTGTGTTGCTATGCGTAATATAGTGTATGCATTGATGCATGTGCGTATACAGTAATATCATTCTAGTAGTCACTGTGTTGATTAATAAATTAGTGAATCTATCTACTTATGACATCGCAATGTTAGATCATACTATAGATAAACAGAAGAAGATATAGGGATAGGTAAGTATGAGATATATACCTTATTTATAGAACGAAAGGATAACGATTAGATACCAGTAAAATGGTGGAGTTAAGTGTCTACTAAGAATACGAATGCTTCCATAAACTATTTTCACTGGCGAGGTATACAAAACGTTACAAAGTTGGAAGCACTTACTCTTTTTGTCTGTGTGTGCGATAATGTTTCTTAGTGTTTGTTCTGCTAAAGAAATCGAGAAAGTTGCATCAAAGTTCAATCAGAAATCGAGGCACCGCCGCATTTCTACAAAAATAGCAAGACAACGCACCGCCGCAAAAACAAGATCGACTGAAGCCGCTTTAACTATTAAACTCGGCGTTCCGTATAAATTCTAACGCTCGGCAAAACCATGATTAAAAGAACGAGTATTCAATTCACACATCGACATTCTTCGCAAACGCACACTCACCCATCCATTCCGTTCGTTCACTCTCATACTCCATCCACATCCATACCATCCATCCATCCGATCCATCCATCCATCATCCATCCATTCTTCATCTATTCTTCATCATTCCATCCATCCATCCATCCATCCATCCAATCCATGCCATCAACATCCATCCATCATCCATCCATCCATCCATCATCCATCGCATCATCTCATCCACCTCGCCCATCCCATCTGATCCATCCATGCCAATACCTGCCATGCCCAATTCCATCCATCCATGCCATCATCATCCATCCATCATCCACGCATCATCTCCATCAATCCATCCATCATCCATCCATCCATCATCTATCCATCATCCATCACAATCGCATCCATCCATCCATCCATCCATCCATCCATCCTTCCAATCCATCTATCCATCCATCACTCATCCTCTATTCCATCCATCATCAATCCATCCATCTATCCATCCATTCACATCCATCCATCCATCCATCACACATTCCACCTCCAATCGTCAATCCATCCATCATCGTCCATCCATTTATCCCATCCATCCATCCATCACATCCATCGCATCCATTTATCCATACCATCCATCCATCCGTCCATTCCACCATCCATCCATCCGTCCATCCATTTATCGCATCACGAATCCATCCATCCATCATTTACCATCAGCCTGACCATCCATCCATCCATCATCCATATCCATCCATTTATCCATCCAATTCCTCCATTCCATCATCATGCCATCCGATCCATCCAATCCGTTCAATCCATTTATCCATCCATCCACATCCATCCATCCATCCATCCTATCTCCTCCATTCGCATCCATCATCCATGCCATATCCATCATCATTCATCATCCCCATCCATCCTTATCCATCATCATTCCATCATCATCTTCCATCCATCATCATCTTCATCATCCATACTCATGCACATGCATCCCATCCATCCATCTCATCCATCTCCAATCCATCCTCCACTCATCCATCTCCATCTCATCCATCCATCATCATCGCATCCAGTTCCACCATCCTCCATCCATCCATCTCATCC